TTTTATAATTATAAAATTGATGTTATTTTTTATTTTCTTGAATGACTTTTTCTGATAAACTAGTTATATTAGGTCAGATTTCTGTCTTCTACTTATCTATCATTGTGCTCTAACCTCTTAATCCTGTTTTTCCCCTCAAGCCTTTCTTTACTTTGTCAGTGGTGAGCATGTCTTTTATCTAATTTTGTTCCTTGAAGTTTCTAATTCATTAATACTTTTAAAATGAGATTATGTGTGGACTTAACTTTGCAACCCATGTGTTTCATTCACTTCACCCAATATGTTGCCAGCTGTCTGTCATCCGTATCCCTCCATCCCTTCTTCCTCTCCTCCTCCTATTACTAAGTTCTGCGTTTGTGCACATTGCAAGATAGATGTCTTCTCTAGAGTAAGATTTCTATCCTTTTATTAAAATTGACACATAAAAACTATATATGATGGGGTTACCACATCCTACTTCCATACGTGTAAATATTGTCTAGTGTTTTAATTAAGTATCCTTATACAATTATCACCTTCAGTGATGAAAACATCCATACTTTCATTCTATTCTTGCTTTAGTTCTTTAAGTACAACCAAAGAAGCATAGGTTACAGGACCCAAGGATGGGTCAAAGCGCTTTTCCTGTGCCCTTTCCTCTTTATCCCTAAACACAGCACACCTGTGTATAGACGCCACCTCTCTCCGTTCAAAGTCTCGGGCACATGTGGAGTTCCTGCCCACTCCGTGGAGAGAGAGGACGCAGAGCTATCCTCCTCCATCTGTGCTTCTGCTTCGAGGGACGAAGCCATCAGCACCTACACAGGGGCAGACAGGACCAACCCCAGAGTGCACGATCGGCACAAGCAACTGCCGTGAGAGCACACCAGTGAGCGTGTGCTTTCGTGCTTTCTTCCCTCGCTGGAAATAGTAAGAGCGAGCTGGAGAAATCTTTGACCAGAGAGAAACTTATGAAAAACTTCACGGTGTCACTCTGCAAAGCATGCAAAATTCAGCTCCCAAGAAGGACATGGTGGTATAAGGACTTGAGAAATGTAATTAGCGGGTTTTGAACCACCTTTCTCCCCAAGTGAGGAAGCGGGAAGTATGCTTCTCCTGGTCGGTGCATTGGTGCTTTAGGCCTATAAAGGGAGAACATGACCCAGAAAAGTGAATGTCTCCCAGAAAAGTGTTGTCATGCTCACTGGTGAGATCCGCTCTGTCCAGTCTCCATTGGCTCCCAGGACTGTGAGTGACTTTTCCTTGCATCCTTCACTCTCGGTGAGGAACCCTTCCCCTCCTTGGGTGGGAAGATGAGGGAATAGCTCTGCCTCCTTTCCCGTGGCTGTCAAGGAAAGATGTGGAGCTGCCCGATAGGTCTGCCAGCTTAGCAGACTAGGCTCTGCCCTCCTTGAATCTTACCAAAGGTCCTTTGCCAGTGCTTGCTCCAGCAAGCCCTGTGTGTCTTCGTCTTATGAAAAGACACTCCAAGCTTTGCTTACTTCCTCTGCTTCACCTTGGAGCACTGGGGATGGGGACCCCCGGCTGTTTGGTTTTGATTCTCCTGAGATGCTGATAATTTCACTGTATTGAGGGAGACTTCCTGTCTCAGAGGTTTAGCTGGACTTCCCCTAGGTTGGGCCCTGCTCACTTCTCAGTGACAGGGAGGTTGGTGGTGATTCTCAGGGTTTTGTCAACTTGCTTGCTTTTCCTGGCAGCCTTCCCAGGACAGTCAGGAAAGCTGTTAAGCGGTGCCTTATGGGAATCTTGTCTTTCTATTGCTTGACGCAAACTTATACATTTTCTGGCAGGAAACTATAGCTTATTCCTTGTTGGGTTTCTATTTGTTAATATTTCCCTGAATTCTTACTTTACTTTCTTTCCTCCTAATGGCTCTAGGAGTTGAACAAGGGAGATTCTAAGATATGCCCCACTTTCTTGTTTTGTTATTTTGGAGACTCTACTTTCCTGTGAGAAAGGGAACATGTAGATTGGAATGAGCTTGGCAATTCTTACTTAAAATAGTTAAGTGAGTGGTACTGGTTCTCAATCACAAGTCTAAGTAAAGATATGAGAGGTTTGCAGGTTCCTTTCTGTTGAGAACAGGTGCACAAATATGAGCAACTGGGATTAGATACTGAGTTAGAGAACATTCGCCTGTACCAAGTCCCTGAAAGGATGTGTTGTCATAGTAGTCAAGGGGCCACATGCCACTGCTTAAATTCACTATGGGTTTTTCTGATTTATTGATTTTTTCAAAGTTTCAGAATTGTTATTTATTAATTTAGCTACTTTCAAAAGATTCTCTGCATATTATTGTGTTACCTTCGTTATTTCCTTCCTTGTACCTTCTTTCATACCTCTGTTATTTTTTGCCCAGATTTGGAATTTAAATCATTTTTTAAGAGCTTTTCACCCAAGGCAGCATTAGAGTATATGGATTTTCGCCACTTTGAGTGAAAGTAGAGTTCCCGGCATGGATTTTCCTTGGTCATTACTTTAACTCTCATAGATTCTGAAGCATAGGCTTTTCATCATCATTATTTTTCAGAACTTTTCTGTGTTTTCTCATAGTTTCATTATTTACCTGAGTTGTTTCTGTGTGTATGATCAGTTAATTGTTGTAATCTCCTTTTCATTGATGTCTTCCTTGTAAGATAGATATGTGACCATTTCTGTGAATATTCCACATTGACTGAGGAGAGAATTATATTCTCCTTGATCAGGGTGTATAGTTTGATATATATCCAGGAGACCTTCATTGATTATCATGTCTGACACTCTATTTATTTTAGTCCACTTGGCCTGGTTTGTCCCACTAACATTGCATTAAAGTCTTTTATTACTATTCTCTTTATTCCTCCTTATGTCTTCTATTTCTGGCTTTGTGGCTTTAACTTTGTATCAATGGTTCATATGTATTCATAATTTCTTTACCTTTTTTATGATTTATGGATTTTTTTGGCTTTGTACAGAAGCCTTCTTTGTCTTGTTTGCCACATTTTGACTGATTTTTATCTGATACTTTATCTGGTAATGAGATTTCAGCTCCTATGCTTCTACTGATTCCATATGCTGGACACATATGCCAATCTCTATAGTTTTCAATGGAACAGTTTGGTTTTGTTTCTTATATACAACATAAAGTTGGGTTTAGTGAGCCAATCTAAAATGCTAAATAAAATTTGTTTTACATACCAACGACATCAGAAAATATGAGAAAATAATTGTTTAATGTTTTTTATGGACCAGATTGTTTTCCCTAGTTTTTAGATAAATTTTTCCAATGCATAATATATTTATGTGATAATATATTTTTTGTCAACTCAGGCAGAGTTAAAAGATCTACTCAGCATGCAGGGTGGACTCATGGACTTTTAAAGTAACAGCAAGAGCTCATTGATTTGGTTTGAAATGTCTCATTACCATGAACCTCTAGGAAGCTACCTATGTCAAGTATCAGTATCATATGAAAGAGCATCTCCAACCTCCTGGAAAAGATAGGAAGAGACTTCTCTCTTTTCCAACTACATGTCAGTTTGAGACGAATTTTATGCAGTTCTGCTAAAATACCATATTGCACTGGATTCTCTTTGGAAACAAGTCTGAAAGCCCGTCTGTCCTCTGCTAAGTCGAGTGTTTAGAAACTTCTGCACTTCTCATTCTTTGTTTAAATGATATGCTTTTCTCATTAAAACATCCATATGTACAACATTTTAATTTTAACTGTTAATAAATATTTTTGACTATCAAGTTTTGCATTTGAATTTAAAATTAGAAATTTTAAATTTCTAATGTTGATAGCTACAATCCACATATGGGTTCTCAGAAGACCTTCCATTTTCTGAGTGTAAAGAACTCCTGAGACCAAAATGTTTGAGAATTATCAACAGCTGTGTTTATAGACTGTCAATAAATTCCTGTGCTCTAAAGGTAAAAACCACACTGTTAACATGGCCTCGACAAAAACTATTGTCAAATTACACGGGCCTTAATTTCCCAGGTGAAATCCCGTTTGTGAACTCGCACTCCTGTCAGAAGGATGCGCTTCCCGACCATCTGACGCCTTTCAATCTTTCTTATCCTGCTGCTTTCAGCTCAAGCAGCGCTTCCCGGCCCAGCGCTCCTGGCTATGGTCTCTTGGAACAGCGCTCCGCTACTTTAGAACTTTTTCTCTCTTTCTAATCATGCATCATGGCGAGAAATCTGTTTCTGCCAATAGATAGGAAGCCGTGACACCAACGAGCGTTGGCACCATTGTGTTCACTCTCTGCAGCAGAGCTCGGCACGGGTAGGATGGAAAATTAAGTGTGTGTTGGTGAACGGGCCCGCGGATGAGCACGTGTGGTGGCAGAGGAGCAGGTGGACTAAGGCCGTGCTGGGCCTAGAATGAGTGCCCTCTTCAGCACCAGGAACTCGGGATGAAGCACGCCGAGGGAACGCAAGGCATCCCGTGTCCAGCGCTCACTGAACTCTTCCTGTGCAATTTTCTTACTGAGTATCTTGCTGGGTTTTTCTTTTACAAGAGAAACAGAAGGGAGAAAATTAATACGCAGTGGTATTTGTTGGGTTAGTTAAGTGTTCTTGAGAAAGCGTGATGAGCAATTGTTGGAAAACAGCCTTCTGTGTTTCACATGACACTGTTATTTCCTACGAGTTTTGCTGAAATTTTATCATTTTTTCTGTATGTCCTTCCTATGGTCTCGTCTGTTACCTCTCTTTGCCTAAAAATCCTCAGTTGAGTAGCACATCCAGGTATATTTCCTCCACCTCCTTTGTTATGAGCCTATCATTGCACGGGACAGACTGTGGTGTCTTTGAAATGCATCCATCTCTCCAGGAGGATGCTCACTGCTTGAGCTCTCGGGCTGTGCCTAACTTACCTGGGTATCCATGGGGCATGCAGTTAGGGCCTCAACACTGGACAAACTCCAGTACACGAATGCGTGCACAGATGACTGAAGTAAACATTTAATGAACAAAATCACAAATTTCTCAACTTCTTTATTAAATTCTTTCAGTTAAAACTCAGGTAATGGGAGAAATCAAGATTGCATTGAAAAAAGAAATGAAGACGGAGGGTGAACAACTAGTAGTTGAAATTCTCCAATGCAGAAATATTACCTACAAGTTTAAGTCTCCTGACCATTTACCAGGTATCTAATTTTATGATAAAAATAAATATAAAATATCTAGGAACTTATTACAGACATGTTTTAAACATTACGTGAAACTAATGTAATAAACTAACATTTAGTCTGAATAGCAAATATGTCAGAAATATATGAAAAAAGAATTTCTACAGTATAGACCAAATCGTTCCTTCTTAGTTTTAGCTAGATTACTTCAACATATCAATTAGAGTGACATAGTCATTAAACAACAGAAAACAAAGTTAAATTGCTAGGAAAAGTGGTATATTTTTAATCATTTGTGTTGTCTGAAAAACTGTACATGAAATCCCTGTTGCTATAAACCACAGGGAGAACTCTCAGCATGCAATCCTAATTATTGCCATAAAAATTACAAGATTGATGGACTCTATTGTGCAAACTTTTTTTTTTTTTGGTACTGGGGATTGAACTCGGGACCTTGCGCTTGCAAGGCAGGCACTGGAACCACTGAGCTAAATCCCCAGCCCAAGACTGATGGACTCTAATGGGCTGCAATGTTATTTTCAGATTTGTATGTGAAGATATATGTGATGAACATCTCTACCCAAAAGAAGGTGATCAAGAAAAAGACAAGGGTGTGCCGACACGATCGAGAGCCTTCCTTTAACGAAACCTTCAGATTCAGCCTCAGCCCCGCGGGGCATTCTCTTCAGGTATTGTACAGTTACTGTCTCCCGATTTTCACTTATACTGCATTTGCAAATTTGCTACTCAAGTATTCGGTATTCACATACTAATCACACACCTGCCGTTGGAGAAAATGACGAAGTCTCCCAGGTGCACTACATGGGCCTCTGCCCTGTGCTCCCACCCCAGGCCACCTGCTCTGCGTGGCTCCCTGCTCACTGCCCTGGAGTCTCTGGCCCCAACTTCACTCTTCCCTGCACCTCAGGGCCTTACCTGGCCACCAACTCCTTCCTGTGGGGCCCTCCCATTCACGCTGCCAGCGTGGGCCTTGGGTCAGGTTAGAGCCAGTCAATGACTCCCATTACCTGGAGCCCTGCTGAGGCCTCCAGGGGAGTTTGAATTGTGTCGATTTAGTCTTGGCTTCTTAGGTATTTCTCCACTCACCAGAAACTCCAGCCTCGCCTGACTCACTTCCTATCAAGTAAACCTCTAATCCTGCACATACCCATTTCTACCCCTTCAAATCTCCCTACTCATCTGTCTCCACCCATTGCCACACTGCAGTGATTTTCCTGATGATCTCAGGTATAGTTCACCATTCCTTACCTACAGATTAGCTTCTCACCTCCTCATGCTGTGAACCCCATCTGCCTTGTGCAGTAATTTACACCCCTGCCATCTCTGCTCCCACATTGTCACCCTCTCTGGGGCAAGGCCTGGCTGTCCTTGCTCTTGTCTCCAGCATGGTGCAGCACTCTGCACATTATGTCTTCCTAGACACAGAACAAGAGTGAAAGAAGAAATGCAGGGTGGGATGGGGAGAGAGGGAAAATTGGAAGAGACCGTGTGGTCCTGGCACATGAAGCCTTGGACTAGACATAAATATGACTCCTTCCCCACTGAGCAGAGACCCACTGAGGAGATTAGCTGGCATCAGAGTAGAATAGAAATTAAAGAACTCTGGAGCATGTGTCCAAAGGTGCCAAAGGGAAGTGACCCCAGGAGGAGGTGCGGGAGGAACAGCTCGAGTTTCTTGGAAATTCATTTGAGAAGAAGACAGTGATTCAAGTGATAATGCGGAGTCACTTGAAATCTAAAGACCCAAAGCAGAAGAGATGGTTATATCCAGAAATATATTTTTAATGTTGGAAGAAAAGAAAGATTTTGAGAGGAAAAATAATTGAATCACCTGAATGAGATCCTGAAGAGCAGTAGAGAGGAGGGAAATACAGAAAATCATCAAGGGTCAGAAGACTGGCCTAAGGCTCTCTACAGTTCTTTCAACTACTTACTTAAAGAAAAAAAATATCTCTACTTTTAGACTGTAGAGTAACATTATTTCTATAAATGAAAGAAGGAATCATGTTGTAGTGCTCACTGTAGTTAAAAGCAGTAAATGCTAAATAGAATCGATGGCTTGTGAAGTCTTATTTATTTGCTCAGCATTCAAATCATTTTTCTATTTGGTTCAGTATTTAATAAACTAGTAAAAGTGTATCTGGAAAAGTTACGTTGTGACACTTTCCATCAGTTTCAGCATATGTCTAATTAGAATTAGCTAGTTATCCACATCATTATCTAAGATTCTCATATCTTTCGGGATGTGTCTTTTCCTTTGGGCAATAATTTAAAAATGTTGATGTGAATTAATTTATATTTTGCAAATCTTTTGAGAACATCTAGATTATTAGTTCTCTTGCAAAAAAATATACCTGCCACTTTTCACCTCTCCCCCTCTTGTCTGTTTCTTTGATGATTCAGGGTCTGTTATGCAGTTGAAAAATAGACATGTGTGTGTTCATATAGAAAGATATATATATATATATACATATATGTATATATATGTATATATATATATCTATATATAAAATTTGGTTTATTTTTTTCTAGATTTTGCTTTTCTCCAATGGAGGGAAATTTATGAAAAAGACCTTGATTGGCGAGGCCTGTATCTGGCTGGACAAAGTGGATCTCAGAAAAAGAATTGTCAGCTGGCACAAACTCCTGGCCAGTCCTACTCAGGCGCACTAAGAACTGTGTGTGCTCAGGTAGGGCGTGAAGACGTCTCCTGGATGGAGACGGGCTGGACACCATTGTACAGCGCTGTCCTCCAGCAAACACGAGAGGGATCCATGGGCAGCAACCCACTACCGCCTCGTAAATTCATTGCTCTGGGTAGCGGAAAGAGACACAAATGAAAAAGTTCACAGGTTGAAAACCAACCAGCGAATAGAGCTCTGAGGCCTTGGGATTTCTTGGCAGCGGAAAGAAGCTGGGAGCGGGATTGTGATTACTTACTGCAAAGGAGAATCTTTGAGCAGAATGGAGGGGCAGTGGTGAGCATGGTCTCAAATCAGAAGTAACTTTTATGCAAAGAAAGCTTGATCAAAAGAGCTGATATAACAAATCTCAGTTCGCAAAAGCTGAAAAACTCTTCATCTTGTGTTCTCAGACAAGTTACTGCTTGAGCTCTAGCACAGGATGCGTCTGCGATGTGTGCCCGGGACTGGGGAAGACGACTGTGTTCACAGGCCAAGGAGGCGGGAGACACGGAAGTCACGGCTTACAGGCCACATGGTGCAGGTTTGTTCTGCATCCAGGTGTTACGGGGTGCACAACCCCAATTGTAGAATCCACGTGGTAAAAGCACATTTGTTTCAGTAGAGTTTTTAATAGTGTAGAGTGAAGCTAGTACTAGGTAAAAATGAAATTATTTATCTAGAAATAAAACCAAGTCTGGCTAATAATAAAGACAGTTGACCAACATAATATTGGAAATTCGGTTGAAAATGTCAGTCTCTGTAACTCACCATTAAGCTGAGGTATTTTCAACCTACATAGATACCAAAGGACCTGGATTAAATTGGTATGTTCTAGGAAGCATGGTCACTTGTTCGTTGTGAAATTGCAAATAAATGTGTTATCCTGCATATTTCTCTTCTCTTGAGTAGTGTATTGTCAGAGAAGGAAAATCCTTTCTCTGGCAAACAAATCATATGAAACTTATGATATTAATTAAATTGGTGTCATTTTCTGCTTTTCCATGATATTTTTACCTTGCACTCATGAACTGATTGTATAATGGACAGTCTGATTCCAGACTCATGTTCTCTCTGGTACTTTGTTCCCTTCCCTAAGTGACAATATCACAATGATCAAGTTTCTCTATGCTGGGAAAATATGTACAACGTTGACATTTGAGATTAAGATATACTTTAAACTATTTTAATAATATACAATGAAACAACCAATGTCTAAGTCATTAAGATAATGAATCCTCTCTCCCATCAACCAACAATAGTAGAGGAAGTAACATGGAGTTGTGGAAAACATGCTTGGTGAGAGTTAAAATCCTGGCTTCTGGTGTTGATTCTGCTATTGACATTGCAAATGTTACTTTAACTCACTCTCCTCCAGTTTTCTTATCCATATGATAAAAATACTATTATAATCCTAGCCTTCCTCGTGGAATGTTGGTATGATTAAATCAAGAGACATATGAAATATGAAAGCACATTTCCAAATATAGTTTTATACACAGAAGTGAGGCATAATTATTATGCACCTTTTAAATTCTCAATTTTATATGTGATATCATCCTCCAAACCAATGGCAATCATTGGTGTTGGTAAAAACAGCAAACTAGAAAAAAATCATTTTTTGTTTAACAAATGCACTTTTATTTAACCTGAAAAAAGACGAATTAAATGAAAAAGTTGTGCAAATTTTGTTATGCTGAATGAAATGCATTACACTGATCTTATCCCCTTCCTGTGCCCTACCAGAAATAAACTAAATCACTTCTCAGCGTTTTGAATTTAAAAGCTGCTGCTTTATTCAAAGTGAGGTTTTGGTGGGATTAAGAGGAACCAACTCCAAAATATTGGTTGTATATTGTATTTTCTCAATTTTGGAGAAAAAATACTTTAAATTTGAGAGAGATGTAAAACACTAAAATTAAAGAATTTCTGAAATACCCCAGGCTACTATTCATAAAGAAATACACTGCAGCTTTCTGTGCCCTGGCACACCCATGGCTCCCACTCTCCCACCCCACCTCTGAGGCTGCAGTTAGGGTATGCAGGGCCCCTGGGCATGGGGAGGAAACGCACCAAAAATATGATATTGCTAGAATTTTATTTTTAGAGACTACTAGATCTGCTGATGGTTGCCATGGATATTTCCAGCAGAAGTTAGCACTGGGGCAAGCCTAAAATCATCAGTCACAACGGGGAGGAAGAGGCTCCTGAAGTCTCCCTCTGACAGGGAAAGGCTGGCCCATGTGAACCCTGGCTTCCTCTCTGGTCCTCTTCTGCGGGCTCCCTCTGGGTAACAAGGGGAGGGGCTGCCAGCCAGAATCATCGCGTGGTAGCCACCTAGCGCAGCGGAGAAGGAGCCTTGCTACTACTGGTGCCCCTGTGCCAAGCCCGGATGGGGCCAGGTCAACCCGGAGAGAGCCCCAGGGCTTCAGGTGCCCGCGTCCCCTGCAGCGACGTAGGACCCGCCAGTGTGCGCGTGCACAGCCGGCCAGCTCCGGGCTGACTGGAATTGTTCTATGCAACATCCTTAAATGAAGCATTTCCTCTGCGTGGCGCTGATTTCCCTTCTTAGAACAAAACCGTTTCTTTTTAAATTGCAAACAGGGCTCTTGGTGACTTTTACTTTTTTGTATATATATATGTATATATCACAGCCCATGATTTTCCACTTTTTATTTTATTTTGTTTAAATGGAATTAGCTTTTTTTATCCTAATGGTGGCAGTTTATAATCTCTAATTAATACAGGATTAGTCCAGCTACAGCACCTACACCTTTAAAAGCATCTCAGTTTTCTCACAAATTCATTGAGTCATCAAACACTGAAGCTTCGTGTTGGTTTAAAATTTGGTTGTAATGAAACTTTCAGCTACAGAAGAAAAAGCACAGAGTGAATTTTTACAAAAGACAAGGGATTATAGACTCATCACCATAGACACAGATATCAAGATGTAGGTGTTTCCCTGTTTTTACTTAATAGTAAGGAAATTATTGGTGACTGAATTATTTATTTGCACTGCATTGTAAAAGAATAGTATCGAAGATGAAGGGGCAGCTCTTGTATTTGCTCCTTAATATTGTCCATATTTTAATAAATCATACTAATTAAATGCATATTTTCAGCATACCAGTGAGATTTATTTTGTAGCTCACACACAGTAAAATAATCACATTGTGGGAATAATATAGCTGGTAACCAGCTGATAATGGCTTTTATTATAGGAACGGTTAGGATGATCATGGTGGTAGCCGTAGTGACACTAATAGTGGTCAGTGATGTGAAGTAAAATAAATTATATATTATTATATTGTGCCCAGTTTATTAGAAATTATTTGATCAATGCTTCATTTCATTAAGATATCATAAAGATGTTGATAGTATTTTTTTACTTTATTATTTAAATCATAACAATATTTTTAAAAATTTATTTTCATTGCTACAATGTCGAATATTCCAAAATCAGCCAACTCCAGCTCTAAGTGTTTATAACTGTGTGTGTACAGACAGCAGCGATTTTCCCTCTGTTAGAGCTTGAAATGAAAGTGGAAGCGGCTCGGTGACTAGTTAGGAATGATTCTGTGACAGTTACTTGCCTTTGGTGATGAGTAGAAAGGAGACTCTCACTGAATGGACACACGGATGTCTTCTGTGTGTCCCATGTTCTTAGGATTAAACATTGAAGCCAACTCATTACCTGGTAGTTAGATGAAGTGAGGGTTTTCTTAACTCATTACGCTGTATATATCGATATATTTGGTAAAATAGGCAAAGTTGAAATGCTCATTTCATTTGGCATCCAGCATGTGAATATGATTATTATTTGACTGTGTCTCTATATTCATTAAGTGACGTGCTCAAGTGCGCCCACTACTGGTTAATGCGTGCTAATATCCTAACAGCACATCTGATGTTAAAAAAATTCTTGTCTGAAAAAGTTGAAAACCTAATACAATTGATTTCAAAATAAAAAATACAGAACTTGGAGATATATATTTTTTGTGGCTATATGTTGCATGCTGTGTTGGTGATTTGCTAGTGTGTTTTTTCTTTTCTTTTTTTCTTTTTTTCCCCCAAATCCTTCTGAAAAATCTAATGAACAAATGCAAATTCTTGGATTAAAGATGGTATAAATTGATCTGAAAATATATGAGCATTGTATACAAGTTGCTTGTGAATCTGTCTTGAGTTTTACTCTATGTGAAATATGACTTGGCTTTGTGATTGTGTACAAGATGTATCTTGGTAACTTCTGTAAATTGTGCTGAATAAAGGCTGCTGTCTCAGCCTCACTAATAAATGTTCAAAATATCAACTTTGACATCTTGAGTTTATCAAGATTTCCAGACCAGGCATAAGTGTCTTCTTTTTTATTAGTGTATATTTCCACTTCCATTTGTCAATATGCAACTCAAGCAATGAAATAAAAAGAAAAGGAGCTGGCTAATGCAGATTTGGGGTTTCACAGAAGAGGTTAAAGGAGATCCCTCAGGATGTTTGTACATTTCTCAGAGAAGGTGAGAATTAATCTGCATAGTGTGAGGTGGAAGCTAATGGGGAAAACATTTGAAGACAACAAAGAGGTTTAGAATAGTTCTGGAGCAGACAGGAAGAGGGAGCCCTCCGGGAAGAGCTCAAGGGCTCCTTGGGCTTGATGACCATGAACAGCAACATCCATCAGCCTTTCTGTCACCTGTGATTCCCCAGCCTGGAAACCTAAGAGCAGAGAAAGGGTGTGGCAAATTTTAACTTCAGTTGGCCTTACCAGATGGAGTAGACAGAAGAACAAATGTGTGAGAGACTGCAGGGCATGGGCAAAGATGAATTTAAATTCTGGACCATTGGCTATATAATAAAGAGGGAGGTGAGAGAGGTAAAGACTGGTGAACTGGGAGTAGAAGGCATTCATGAGTTAACAAGATCATAACTGACTATGCTGGGACAAATCTGGGAAGCTATGGGGGAGCATGGGTCGGGTGTCAGAGGTAACTGGAGCTGAGCAGTGGACTAAGAGGAAAGGTAAGGCTGAGGGAGTGCTGTGAACTGGCCTGGGTTGGGGGAGCAGAATCCTTCACTCATTTAGGAAAGGCCAGGGTGTCCCAGTCACAGTTCGCCATGGGGAAGGGCTAGACAGAGAGGCTGATATGGTACTAGGATCAGATTGCACAACCTGATGTCAATTCTGATGCTTTGAATAATGATCTTGCAATAAAATAAGTGAAATGACTCAGCAGGGGAAATATCTGCTTCTGTCTTCTATTTATCAATTAAAATTTTGCAAATAAAATACTTCTAGACACATTGAAGTCTTTTTGATCTCCAGGATTTTAAAAAAAAGTCTCTCTACTTCACATTTTGAAAAATCAAAGAGATTACCATTTTCCTCAATATACTCAGAGATGCACCTGAGCATTTGAGAAAAAGATAGCTAAGCCCAATTATTAGCAAAACTGACCCATTTTCTTTCCATTCCCTGTGTAATATTCTACTCTGCTCATACTGACCCCCAGTGTTCAGATGGTGTTGCTGCTCCTCATGGAAAAAGTCTTTGTTTTGGAGACAGGTTTTATTTTGTGGAGCTGGAAATTTTAATTTGATATTTTGCTCTGTCTGAAATCCAAGGAGCTCTCGCTGTTAATGAAGTAAACCCTCTGAGTGGCTCAAACACTTCCTCAGGAGGTGCTGCTGGATGCTGGGCTGCACACACTTCGAGGCAAGCCACACACTGCTGCATCACCCACACTGGCAGGCAGTTGGGTCATGCGTGTGGATGGTAAGAACTGTAGCTGCCTAGAGCACAGAAAGCAGACGTGCCTCTCTGGATCCTGACCACTTTTACAGAGATTTCCGCAGCAGCATCTGGATAATATCACTGTCCCTCTCTTTCAAGCACATCTTCCACACACCCACCTGGGACCTGCCTAAAGTGCATATCGATAGGACCCTAATGTGTCCCTGCCTGCAACCACCCAGGGGTTCTCATGCCCAGAACCCTAGGAGAAACCAGGCATTGTCAAGACAGCAGCTTCTCTATCACTCATTCCCCAACCCAGTGCATTAAGCAAACCTTCCTTCCTTCCTTCATCTCTCTCTTCCTGCCTCCATTAATCTTGGTAAATGCTTTCCATCCAGTTCCCCTTGCACTGTTTCTCTCTCTCTCTCTCTCTCTCTCTCTCTCTCTCTCTCTCTCATTCTCTCATGAGCATGCACACTCATATTTTCCACTGCAGCTAGAAAACCTTGATTTATCCCTCTGTACCTCAACGTTTCACCCATGGACTGAAGGGTTTCAGTGTTGTGACCCTCTTTCTTTTTTTAAGTAAAGACCCAGAAGCTCCAACTGACTCATGCCTCCTGCCTCAGCCTGACGCCACAGGACACTCCCCAGAGCTTGCCCGCTCAGTGTAGGCTGAGCTCCAGGCCTTATGCATCCACTGTTCTCGCCCCATCTGTCTCCGGCTGGGACCAGCCCCCTGGATCATCACCACTGAGCCCTGAGCCTGCCGACCCGCGGCTGCAGTCCTCTACATACTTCATCCGGACACCTACTGCAAATCGTGTTTATTTTTCTTGTGATCCGACTATAGACTTCACAAGTGCAAGAATGAAAAGGTCTTTCCTTGCCACTGTACCTGGAACGGAAGAGACAACACATATCATTTGCACTAAAGGCTACTGTTTCTCAGATAGTTTTGATCTAAAGGAAAAGCAGGTAACACCTTCATGACAGGCTATTTTTCTTCCCATGGAAAATAATTTAAAATATTGTATTTTATACCAATAAACCCAGTTATATCCCCAAATAGAATGCGTTCTACTTCTTTTCAGAAGGAAGGAGGAGAAAGGAAAAAGAAGAAAGGGAAAAGAAGAGAAGGGGGAGGAATGGGAAGGAAGGGATACATACTTAAATTCAGGATCAAAGCAAATGGAATTCCTCACCTCCTCCCCATGGATGTCGCGGTTCTCACGTGTTTAGGACAAGAGCAGTTCTAGTCTCGGGGCAAGGCCCTGCCCCTCCTAGCGACCTCGCCTTGGGCACTGCTTTCCGGGTGATCACGCTGCAAAAGGCCAGCGCCCAGGCCCTTGAGGAAGAGTCCCGGGCATCCTGGGAGACACCGCTCACCGCAGCAGGCCCGGGAGAAGCCTGTGAGGACCTGATCCAGCTGAGAGCGGAGGGGAGGTCATTTCGGTGACCTCAAGCGCAGCCGCAGAGCTCCCATCCCCCATCTCCCGCCTTCGTGCGCTTGCACGCACTCACGCGCACGCCTTCCCACTGTGCTTTCCTTTAGAAAGAAGAAAAGAAGAAACTGAAGGGAGCCCAAGGTCAGGAGAAACACGGAGGAGATAGGGAACTTCACCATCCAGAACCTTGGGGGAGCCAGCCAAGGCGCAGAGATGCGGGTGGGAGGCGCGGTGGGGGCCGTGGGAAGGGGCCCGGCCTGGGAGGACGTCTGAAGGGTGCGAACACTCATGAACCCCAGTATTCTGGGGGACAGAACGAGGGAAAGCCATTGGGGCCATAGGTAAGACTCCTTTCCTGAATCGAACGGTCACTACTGCACAAAATAATCTCACACAGTAAAAATTCTTCCACAGTCGAAGATTCAATTGGAGATAGAGAGGGGAGGAGGAAATTCTTCTCAGACAAGACTTTAAGGTCTGTAAGCACAGTGTCATTGCCCAAGTGATGAAGGCACCCACAGGAATCCGAAGAAGAAGAGAGTTTAGACAAAATCAGCCTGCAGTACGGCTTAGCATGTGCTCCAGAGGTGACCTGACACCTGGAGCTGAATGGGGGGCTCTGAATGGGAGGGGTCTCTCGAAGCTGACCAGAAGCATGTTAAACCCCAAGAGTTAAGGACAAACAAGCGCGCAGTAAGTCTACAGGAGATACATGACAATAAAAGAGAGCCCAGAGGCAGAATAAGTTACTGACATTTTCTGTTCTTTTTGGGTGCCGGGGATCGAATTCGGGTCCTTGGGCTTGCAAGGCGGGCGGCGGAAGCACTGAGCTAAATCCCCCGGCCCGCCCTTAATTGACATTTTCTAACAGAGCTTCACTATGGAATCTGTGAGCAGTAGCTGGGACAGATGAGTGGTTTGGGGCCTTTTTCAACTTGCTGTCATTTTTTATACTTTTTAGCAGTTAACGCCACGTCCTCAAATTTTTCTTTTTCTGCACCAGGAATCAAACTCAGGATCTTGCACTTGCCAGGCAGGTGGTGTACTGCTGAGCTACATCCCCGGCTCTCAAGTGTATTTTTACTTTTTATTTATTTACTTACTTTTTTTTTTAATGCCCCTACCCTTTTAAAAATGGATTTCATTGGTACATTTTAGGTATACAATATACTGACATTCATCATTGGAAATTTGCACCTTTACAAAATCTCTTGGATCTTACTTTTCCCCCCTTCCCCTCCCCTCCCTTCAACCCCTCCACCCCTCCCTATTTACAAAGACTTTGTTTCCATTTTCTCATATTAATTCCATTCCTTTCTTTCCTTTCCCCT